TTTTTTTTTTTTTGTCAAGAAAAACCGAAAAGTCTAATAGGAATTTATAATACTGACGACATGGAAATAATTTTTGTAACTTTAAGGGTGCATGGATGATCCAGACAGTGAATCATGAATCGAAACAATTTTGAATAAGCTTGTATAGACACTTATTTTTATATTCCTTAGCCTTCTGCTCATCTAAAACTCTACCTTGAAAGGTTTTAACAATTTAAAGATTAAATCATAAGTTATTAAGTCATTAATTTAACCATTTAAGCCTCTAAGCCCAGCATCTATTACCTTCCCCCCTCAAGTCAATTTGCAAGAGATTAAAATAATAAAAATGATAATATCTCACACTTACAAAGCAGCTTTGATCTGTAGGAGCCTAAAGTGCTTTTTTAAAACTTTATAGAAAAACTAGGACCATCCACCCACATCTCAGAGTACATCTGAGGTAGAAGCTGGCAGCTGGTGAAAAGCAATGGAGTCATTTACCATCTGTACAGAAGACTACTATTTTTGAACAAGTATAAGGAATTAGAGGACTTAGGGAAATACAAACAGAATTAGCCGCTCAATTAAGTGGTACGTTCAATGGTCACAGGGTCCAAGGGCTATTATTTAAAGTTTCACCAGAGGAAGTTGTTTAAGGGTTCCCCTGAGAAGGAAAAAACTAAAAAACAAAGAAAAGCAACCCCTACCTACATTAGGGAAGTTACTGGTTCTAGTGATTCCGTCTAGATTTTCCCCAGAAGGACAGGTACTACCGGTGTCACCTCAGACACAGAAAAAACTATGACATTTAGGTTCTTTTTGTGTCTTTTTGGGTTCTCTTTCACACCCAATTTCAAAGACCTTTATAAAGAATGTTGATCTGGGGTGGATTAAATGGGTGACGGGCATTAAGGAGGGCACTTTTCAGGATGAGCACTAGGTGTTCTTTGTAAGAGATGAATCACCAGGTTCTACTCCTGAAGCCAAGACTACTCTGTATGAACTAACTTGAAAATAAATTCATAAAAAAAAATAAATTAAAAAAAAAACCTAGAATATTTATCTTGATGTTACAGTGTGTAGGAGAAGAATCCTGGTTCAAGCTCTGCCCCCTCCACCCATTTCCAGCACCTTATACCAACAATCTTCTGCCACCTGCACAAACGAGAAGCTGACTTCTCAATTTATATATATTTTAAAATATATTTTCCTCTTCTGTCTCTTCCCTTAAGAAACCCCTAAAGTCGTATCCTATATCTTTATAAAGTGGGAGCCTAGGAACAAGGTAAAAGAACTCCTGAGCTATCTTTACCAGGCTGCACTCCAATTCTCAAGGCTCTTTTCTCGGATTCTGATTTTCCCACATTTCATTAACTTAGAGTCAGTTCATATCTATAAAAGTTCAAGCATGAAAAATAGGATTTAAGTAGGAGAAATACTTCGACTACATATAAAAAATAACTTCTTCACTGTCGGGGAGTACACCAAATCAGAATATCGACGGGAACACTGGCTCCCAAGTGACAGCCATTAAGTCTTATCAGTGATTTTTGTGTTTTTAAAGAGCAGCCACTTGCTATCCCAGAGGCCTGACACGGCACTTGCTCAAATGTAAGAGATGGTCTTAGAGTTCTTTCAGCTCTGGGACTCTGTTCTATGTTGCTCTTCCTTTCACTGACGGTTCAAAGTAGTCATATTAAGAAGGCGACAAATGGCACTTGGAAAGAAAAAGAAAGATGAGGACCGCATCGAGTCGCCAAGCAGATTGTGATCATTACCTACTATATCACCATCCTTTTGTAGGGGACTTGAGAATAGCTTTCCAATGATCTACCTCTGTTCTTTCCCAAACCACACAACCTAACTGATCTCCAAAAGTTTGATTTTATACATTGATTAAAAAAAAAAAAATCCTAAATCCTAAATGAATTTGCTCCACTCTACTCAAATACTTTTAACCTGATCTTTCTTTCAATCAAGTCAGTACAAACTTAATAGTAATACGTATTAAACAAAACATAACTTAGAAGATAAAGGAATGCTAATAAAAATGCATTACAAAGTTAAATCTATCTAAACAGTCCCATTTCCCCCCAAATTCTGCTGATAATTTAGTTCCACTTGAGAAGAACATAGCTGCTATACAGGTACAAAGATAGACAGATATGTACATGTGTACACACATGTATCTAAGAGATAGGAGATTCAAATGAAAGCAAAAATCTTGATACCTTCTTCATGGCCTGACACTTGGCTGTCTCAGAAAAGCCAATCATCTTATCAGGAGAGCAGATCTTGATGAAGGGGAAGTTGGATTCCTCTGCAATCTTTGCAGCTAAAGCAGTCTTCCCACTATGAGGAGGGCCTGCATAAAGATATGAGCAAGTCAGGGGAAAAAAGCCAAACCAAGCAAAGGGGAATAAAACAAGTTTAAACTTTTATCCACAATGTACTGAGGTCTCAACTAGTTGCTCATTAACATTTCCTGACACAATTTCACAGCAGACATGTTTTCTCTTATTTATTAGCAACTAAACTTAATGAACTGATTAGCATTTCTCAAAGGTATGATGAAATACATTCCTTCTTTCTTTCTCATAGTCTTAATCTTTCAAACTTCTGGCTAAATATATAATATGCAAGGGTTTTGTTTCTTAAAAAAAAAAAAAGAAGAATACCTTCAAACACATTATCTGTCCTATGTTATTAGTTCTACCAAATCGCTTGTCTAATAAACAAATACGACCTTCTTAGGAGATAATATTGTGGGCAGGGGAAAACTGCCTTATTAGAAGCAAATACGACTTTAAAAGCTAAAATTTTAAAGATTTAGGCCTTCTCATAAAGGCAGCCAAATCTATAAGCTTAACTGTATTTAGACATCTTCTCCTCCTTCCCTTCTGTGAAATGGAAGATGTGTCCCTTTTCCACCCATAAACCAACCGATTCTTCCTTCCCATCTTCTCAAGAACCTGACATTACTGGGGCGCCTGGGTGGCGCAGTCGGTTAAGCGTCCGACTTCAGCCAGGTCACGATCTCGCGGTCCGTGAGTTCGAGCCCCGCGTCGGGCTCTGGGCCGATGGCTTGGAGCCTGGAGCCTGTTTCCGATTCTGTGTCTCCCTCTCTCTCTGCCCCTCCCCCGTTCATGCTCTGTCTCTCTCTGTCCCAAAAATAAATAAAAACGTTGAAAAAAAAAAAAAAAAAAAAAAAAAAAAAAGAACCTGACATTACTGACTGTATCCTCTTCCCCATATGTTCCATCTCTTCGTCTTCCCTGGTCTTTCCAATAGCATTTAAGCACATTTGAGCACAAAGCAAAAAAACTTTCTGGACTTCACACCCCTCAACACTAGTCTTGCTTCTCCCTTCAAAATGAAACTTCTCTAAACAATTATCTACACTGGCTGCCACTTTGCATTTTCCCTCCATTCTCAAACAAATGCTATGGTTTCCATTCCCATTACATGGAACAGGCTCCCATCTGGGTCATCAATGACCTCTATGTCACCAAATCCAACAGACACTTTATCTGTTGGCCTCTTGGGAATATTTGATACAATGGGAGAACTCTTCTCTTTTTACAAATACTTTTCTTGGCTTCTGTAACAGCACCTTCTCTTCTCCCCCTCTTACCTCCCTGGTTACTCTTTCTCAGTCTTTGTCAACTCTTCCTGCTTTACTTGCTTCTTAAATGTTGACAGATCTCAGAGATCAGTTCCAAGCCCCCTTTTCTTCTCAACCTACACCCTTTCTGTAAGTAACCTCACCCAACCACCATGGATTCAACAACAGTCTATACACAGACAACTCATAAATGTTATTGTCAGCCAGACCTCTCTTCTGAGCCCACATATCCAATGGGCTGCTCAACATTTCCAATTCAATTATTCTATAGGAACCTCAATCTCAACATGTCCAAAACTGAACTCAAAACCTTTCTTCTTAAAATCTGCTTCTCCACTAGTGTTCCCAGTCTTAGTACACAGCACCATTTACCAGGTTGTGTATACTAGAAACCTGGTGATCATGTTTGATACCTCTCCCCATATTCAATCTAGTTATTTAATATTTCTAAGCTTCAGCTTCCCCATCTACAAGATAGGGATAACAGAAGCATCTGCCTTCATAGGATTGAAGTGGGGTTTAAATAAGATAGTGTATGCAAAGTGCTAGTAGAGTGACTAACCAATAATAACAATTCAAAGAATGTTAGCTTAATTATGAGTAATAACAATGATTATTATAAATCCTCTTTCCTTCTACCTCCTAAATATTTCTCAAAATGGTCTGCTTATCTCCATCTCCACTACCAGGATGTTACTTCAAACCACAATCAACTTTCATCAAGGTGCATTAATGCGACTGCTTCTAACCATTGGTTTCCCCTGTATCTTTTTTGACTCTCCAATCCATCCTCTGTCATAAAGTGGTCACGACATTTTGAAAATACAAACCTTATCATGTCACTTTACTGCTGAAAACCCTACCAACTGCCCCTCAGACAGAGACTAAATCTTTAATATGGCCCACAAGGCTGTGCATGAACTGGCTCCTGTTTACTTCTTTGGTTTCATGCCTAGCCACTCTCCTTTTCTCTCTTTCTTTTTTTCTTTCTTCCTTCCTTCCTTTTTTTTTTATATCTAGTTTTGAGAGACAGAAAGACAGAGTATGAGTGGGGGAGGGGCAGAGAGACAGGGACACAGAAACTGCACAGAGGGAGCACAGAGCCTGACATGGAGCTCGAACCCACAAACCACGAAATCATGACCTGAGCCGAAGGTGGATGCCCAACCAACTGAGCCACCCAGGAGCCCTTCCTTTTCTGTTTCCATCTCCTTCCCATCCAGGGCTTTTTCACATGCTGGTCCCTCCACCTAGAACATCTTCCCCAATTACTTTGCTCAGCCAGTTTCTCACCCTTCAGGTCTTGGCTTAATGTGTTTCAGGGAGCTTTCACTCCCAGACCTTTGAAAGGAGTTAGATTCCTCTGTCATGTGGACTCACCAAACTTTTCTGTTGTTGTACTAATCATAACTGTAAACAAGTTAACTGGTGAACAGAATGTCCTTACCTTTTTGTCTACTTGGCAAACTCCTAACTAATCCTTCCAAGTCTAAATTAAACACCACCTTTAGCTTTCTTTGATCATCCTGTGCAAAATGACTTGCATTCACACACACCTTCACATATACACTGTAGTTAAGAATATGTTTACATGGGGGCGCCTGGGTGGCTTCGTGGGTTAAGGGTCTGACTTTGGCTCAGGTCATGATCTCACAGTTCATGAGTTCAAGCCCCACATGGGGCTCTGTGCTGACAGCTCAGAGCCTGGAGTCTGCTTCAGATTCTGTGTCTCCTTCTCTCTCTGCCCTTCCCTGGCTTGTGCTCTGTCCCCCTCTCATCTCAAAAATAAGCAAACATTAAAAGAAAAAAAATTAAAAAAAAAAAAAAGAATTTGTTTACATGTTTTTTTTAATGACCAGACTGAACTCTGTGAATGTCTTTATATCCCCAGCAACTGGTTCAATACCTAAAACATTTTACTCAATGAATACTTATTTAATTGAATTAAGTATTATGTGGTATCATACAGTCTACTACATAATATTTAGTGAATATTTATTTAATCAAGTTGATTACTATGTGGTATCACACAGTCTATTAAGTAACAGAAGTTTCAATGCAATTCCACAAGAAACTAGTTACTATCATTTATCAGTAACATGCCCCCTCCCCAACTTTAATTTGTGTACAATATTGGTACATAAACTGGATTGCTATTTTTAGATCATGAATAGGTTTTAAACTGAAAATAATTCATTTTTCTGGAATGTGCTAAATAAATAACTTTGTAAAAGTGCTTTTTTTTTTTTAAACTTTTAATGCCATCTCTTCATTCTTTCTCACCTTCCAAAAGGACGCTAACCAGGGGTGTACGATCACTATTTTTAGTCTGCTGAACCAGCAGCTCCCCATCTTCCAGAACTCGAGTAACTGGATCGCCCCATTTGATAATACCATTCATAATGTAACTTGCATAATCCTCTTGGTTTGTGCCAAATGCCTATGGAGGAAAATTATAATTTAAAGCATTTTGAGTGTCAGTATAAAAACTAAAATTCCCAAAAATATAAAAGATGAGTAATAATTCCTACATATTAAAAGTATTGAGCAATATCCCACATTAACATAAAAAGCCTGAAAAGCAAATAAAAACAAACAAAAAACCATTATCTTATCATTTCTCATTTAAACTTTTACCCAACGGTGGTGGGGAGGAAGCTGTTTTGGGTGACTTAACAGAATAAAACAAAGATTCTAGGGTCAGATTCTACAAGAGCCCAAGCCCTTGTAACCCCTGAGAAAGGGCAGGTTCCAATGTGCTTGTTTCTATAAGGAGTACACTGCTTGTGTCCTTCTGTTAAGAACAAAGGGAGAAAGAGATTATGGACTTACAACTTAGAAACAGTTGGCTCAGCAGACAAAGATACTATCCTGACATTGACTGTCGGTGTCATGGATTAAAATGGGAAATGAAATGGCATTGAGGAGATCTTGTCCACATCAGCTTGGTGGTGGGGGACATAAGTTAAATGGCACCAAGGTAAGTTTATGTGTGTAAATATAAGATTTAGAATGAGGTAGCACTGAGCAACTATAATGAAAGACTAAAGTATCAGAAAAAGGAAATAAAAAGCAATCACTATATATAATAATTTTATGTGTGCTCGCTACATATCAGAGCTTAAATCACATCCCTCTGCATTTTCAACTTCTAGTTTTAAATTGTAACTCCCACCAAACCAGCTGCCAAGGGTGATCAGTAACTTTAGTGCTTAGCGACTTAATGGAATTGTGTTTTTAAAAGGTTAACAAGTGAAGAAATGAGTAGGAAAACATAACTCAATGTAATCTAAAGGTCCCATATCTTGAGAACTTCAAATTTTAAAAATTTACCACATCCCTCAAAAAGTCAATTTTTCACTATCCAACATATGGAATGATTTTAACAGCTCTTTAGAACTTGCACCTCACAGAAAGTCATCCTCTGTAATACTGTCTTAACAACATACGGTGGTCTCATTACTCTGTCACTTTGCCACCAAATCATTTTGCAGACCACACTTTTGTCCTTGAATGCACTAGTCCTTTGATTCCTGTACACAGAAGAAAGTTATCATTCCCTGTTTTGGATATGAGAAACTCGATGGCCCTGTAAAAAGTTATAAAGGAGGAGTCTAGTAAGCACTTGTTGAATGGCTATTGAAGGAAATATACAGATTGGCTGGCTTTTTGTCTTTAATTATTCCAAGTATATGCTGTAAGCTTCATAGCAGCAGCTTTAAGATACCTGAACCTGGAAACAGTGACCCTCCATGCTAACCATATATATGAGTCTTCCTTACTCATTCTGTCATTGTATTTTCTGTTTTATCCCCTGGACCCTTGGAACAAATAAAAGGAAGTTATTAATTACTTAACTAAGCAAGTTATCTCAGCTTCTCCTTCCTGGTAGCCAAATTATTTGTCATTAAAAAAACCTTGGAATAGATCAGTTAGGCTGGGCTCTAATATTTTTGGTAACTATTACGAATGATAACAGCAAAAGATGAAATCATTTCCAATGCTCAGTAAGTTAAAGTAATTATTTTATATTTAAAAGTCACCACAGTCATAAAAAAGTAGACAGGGCTAAAACAAATTGATTTTAGTCTTTAAAGGAGATACTTGCAACACATAATTATTAAGAATTATAAAGAACTTGAGCAGACCAAATAAAGAATAAATAATACAACAGAAAAACAGGCAAAAGACATGAACAGCATTTCACAGAAGACACTCATATAGCCCATAAACATACGCAGAGATACTTAAATTCATAGGTGATCAGTGAACTGCAAATCAAGGCCAAAATGAGAGCTCATTTTACATTCGACTGAATGGCAAAAATGAAGTCCGAGAGTACCAAGTGTTAGGAGATGGTGATCTCCCTATCATGAGGAATAATTTCAATTTAAGTACTAATTACTCAGCCATCAGCATTAATGTGCAAATATTTCTCCTACTGGACATTTCCAATCCTGAGATTTCCTGATTTTTAAAAGTACATACCATATAACCTTACAGAATACGGTGTAACATGGCGATTGTGGGTTTGTTTTTTTTTAGTTTATCCATCACTCAATATCCATACTCACTGGTTTGATATCATTCTCCAAAGAAGCAAGAAAGTCTCCTCTCGTCACCTGCAGGCTCTCTGCTTTCTCCATGTCCACCTCTACTTTAGTGCTGGCCTAATCAGGAATGAAAACAAAAATGTAAGGCCTTCCAAGATTTAAGACGATTTTCAGTCTAAGAATGTAATACCTGGGGACTTTTTTAAAAAGCATATTTTCACAGACAAAAGACATCTCTCTCAAATTCACAAACATACATAACTTTTGCCCGAACAATTCCCCTTCTAGGGATTTATCCCAGGAGTATATCCACAAATGTATGCAAAGTTACATGTATCGGGATATCTGTTAGAGTAATTTGTAATAGCAGAAGAGTAGAAGCAAATTAAGTGTCTACCAGAGGGTACCAGTTACGTACATTAGGACACATTTGGACCAAAGAACGCTGGAGAGTTGTTTTTTTTTTTCCCCTTCAAAATAAGGCACAAGGAGGAGAAAATACATACAAAGGGTCTCTAAGAACAGTGGTTCTCATCCTTGGCTACATACGGAATAACCTCTAGAGCCTTTAAAGATACACAGAAGCCCAGCCCGACTCCCTTCAGGATTTTGATCTGACAGGTTCAACAGAGGGTCCATGCATTTATAGTTTTAAAAAGTGCCACGGGTGATTCTAATGCTCAGCTAGGTTTGTGAACCATTATTCTAGAAGACCAAGGTCCTACAATTTTGATTTGTACTCATACTTTGTGCCAGCTCCAAATATTCTGCTTACTGCACCTGGAGCTAGCACTTAGAACAGACATCTGGAGAAGCATCAAGGCCTTTATCAGCACTTGGAGCTGCCTGGACCTGATGAGTGATTGAGACACTAGCACATTTTTTAACGCGACTGGGCTCACTCCCAATAGCACGAGGCAAGTGAGTCTAATTTGTAAATGGCACTGCGTTTTTTAAAAAAGGTATCTTCAAAAACATCTGACTATAAAACAAAAGTAAATTAAGCAATATTAACCTTCCATTGATTATTATAAAACACGAGTCAGGTTCCTTTAGGAACAGATTGTTGAGACAAATGAAATGACAAACATTTTGTAAAAAGTCAGACTTACGGGATAAAAGGAACTATGTCAGAAACCGGATCAAGACAGCAAAACAGAATACATTTATTTATCTCCCTTCCTGCCCCAAATCCCATGAAATGACAGAAAGTGAAAGAGAAAGGTTAAAAAGCATAGAAGACATATCCAAAAATTTAACAGAGAGGAGTCTCAGAAGGAGAGAAGAGAAAGGATGATAGAGAAACGAACAATAAGAGACAGGAGAAAAAATGTTCTCCGCACCCAAAGGAGTGTCTTTGCAGTTTGAAAGATTCAATGAGTGCTCATTAGATAAATGAAAAAACCCCACATCTGTCTAGACACACTGCTATAAACTATCAGAACACCAAAGGTGAAGAGAAGTCCTAGACAACTTTTTGGTGACAAAAACAGGTTACCTGTAAAGAAACCAGAGTAAAACTGGCATATCTCTCACTAGCAACACTAGAAACAAGAAGAGAACACATATCCAGCTGTCTCCCCTAAAGAATGATTCTCACATATACTTAGGGAGGCATAGGCAAGCATTTTCACAATAGTTATTATGCACTGTTCTGGACACTAGAGACATAACAATTCAAAACAGGGTTCCTGCCCTCATGGATCTTACATTTTAGATTGTTGTAATATTCTAGAATACTGTGCATTTGTCCAAAATAATGAAGACTTGTGCATACTGATGGAAAGTTACCCAATATATACTGCCAAGTGAAAAATATAAACTGCAGAATAATTCCATTAAAATCTTTTTTAAAAAGCACACATATGTATGACTGTAAATGTAGAGAAAAGATTATAAAGATACATCCCAAATGTTGGCTACCTCTGGAGAGGGAAAGACAAGGGGTATTGGAGACAGCCTTTCTCACTTTTCCCTATATAATCTGGCATCTGGAATCTCCTACAAAAAAATTTATTCATACATGTATGTATGTATGTATGTATGTAGGTAGGTATGTATGTATTTTGAGAGAGAGAGAGAGAAACCATGAATAGGGGAGGGGTAGAGAGAGGGAGAGAGAAAGAAAGCATGAGTAGGGGAGGGGTAGAGAGAGGGAGAGAGAGAGAATCCCAAGCAGGCTCCACACTGTCAGCAAGGAGCTTGATGCAGGGCTTGAACCTATGAACCATGAGATCATGGCCTGAGCTGAAGTAAGATGCTTAATCACCTGAGCCACCCAGGCGCCATTTCTAAGTTACTTCACATTTCTAAGTTAAAGAAAGGAAATGGTGTTACAGGAAACAGCACCTCTATGAAAAAAATTATAATGCTCAGTTCACAATATAGACATCTCTATAGTGCTTTATAGGTTATAAAGTATGTTTGCATATATTTTCTCATTTCATCATACCCATTATCTCATTTTATCCTACACAAGCCCGTACGTTTTCTTACATTAAGGGTAGGATAATTTAACTAAGGGATATAAGGTTTCCTTCCCAGGTAATCTTACATAAAGGTCTTAAACTCTGATTAAAACTTTTTGACACATTTTAAAGGATTTGACAAGGTGTAAACTCTCAGGTGGAAGTGAAGGAGCTCTGACAGAATCACATTAAAACCCCAGTGAAGCCACCAGCCTCGTTCCAAATGTCCCCGCTCTATATAGCCCTGAACTTTTATTATGATGTTTTATGTGCTGATTTCCTCTGCTAGTGAAACTAAATTCAAATGATAGAAACATATAACAATATGAAGGGAAAATCTTACCTTTCCACATTTGCCAAAAAAGTATGACAGATTTCAGGACTGAAACTGTGTGAAACTTGTCTTTTTGCCATTAAGAAAGGGCTCACTCAATGAATTAAAAGTAAATTAGATGGCTAGGGGATTTATTTTAGAACAAATTTTTGTTAGGCACTACAGGAATTTTAGAAGTTACCTAATTGTAAACAATCAATATTCTAAATTATTCCTACCTCTTCATTAAAATAAGTTTTCTAAGGACTTCTCTTAGCTAACTTTTACTATTTTGTCAAAATTGGTAAAATCTAATTTTAAAATATTCTACAATTCTGAGATGAACATAAGGGAAGGGAAGCAAAAATAATATAAAAACAGGGAGGGGGACAAAACATAAGAGACTCTTAAATATGGAGAACAAACTGAGGGTTACTGGAAGGGGTTGTGGGAGGGGGGATGGGCTAAATGGGTTAAGGGGCATTAAGGAATCTACTCCTGAAATCATTGGTGCACTATAAGCTAACTAACTTGGATGTAAATTAAAAAAATAAAATAAAATAAAGTAAAATATTCTACAATTCTGAATGTTTACTCATTCAGAAAACCTTTTCTCATTTGTCTGAATTACTGTGATTTTTTTCCTACATTTTATTTATAACAGCTAATCAATATAGAAGAGGCAACATCTTTCAACTTATACCTGCAGAAACTAATAAGCTTGTATTTCAACACAAGCAAATTATCAAGTGGTCACCCTTAAATTTCATAACCTTTTAAATCTGACCTTTCAAAGTTCTTATCATTCCTCTCAAATTAAGGGCAGAATGACCTTAATCAATCAAAATTCTACAGAAAATAAGAAATAATGCTATTGAAATTGTGTAAGCATAAATCAGAGCTTTGATTCAGGTGGAAAGTGTCTGTGTGTTTTGTGTGCGTGCATGTCCTCAATTTACTTCCTTACAACCGATTGGAGCAGAAGAAATTTGGGTTATGAGTCTTTTCTACCTGAAGCAGAAATTCCTTTCAAGAGAAAAACAACCAAATGTCATACGAATTTCAGTTGACCACAAACATGGGTTCAAGTACAAATGACATGCACATCAGGTGTTTATGACTGGATTTTCCACTTGATTCAGAAAACTTGAAGAAAACAGTCTAACAGGGAAGACTCATTTAGTTGAGTCCACCTGAGTTTATTTAAGCCTAAATCTTTTGAAAAGGGAACAAAATAAAACCAATACTGGCTTTTTATAATGCAGAAACAGGACATTAGAACAAACAGTTGAATGCATGTTTTAAAGTTCTGTCTCAATTTTAGATCAAAAGCTTCAAATTAAACACTTATTCATCAATCATTACTAGCAAAGCTATAAACATCTACAGCAATGGAAATACTACAACTGGACGCCTTTTGTTCAGCTGAGGAGTCTTGTTGTGAAAACAGTGTTTTGATGACAGATTTTTTTAAATGCAGAAAAGGCAATAATAGATGTTCACGTTATTTCTTTCTGGGGACTAAGGGTTAGTGGCCTATAAGTCTCTTCCCTGAAGTCCCTTGTATTAGATATTTCAGAAACACTGTAAAAAATTAAAAGCTGTTTGATACAAAAGACACTGATCACAAGTCAGTATGCATTACCTTAAGTCTGAAAGTAAAAACAGGGGAAACGTGAAGGAAAGAAAATCAACTACTTGCACTACTTCTTACTTGCAAATCTGAAGGATAACATACTCTGTACAGTGGTAACTAACACTTACAGTGAAAAAAACTGTAACTGCAAACAGTCAACAAACTCAGAAACTCAGACACTGTAAAGGATATTTATGGTATGCTCTCAAACCAGCCAATAATAACGAAATTGGAAATAATTAACATTTATCTAGTCTGTAAGGCATTTCCATATACAGTATCTGATTTCATTTTCACAAAAACCTGATGAGGTAGTTATTTCCCCTTGACAGAAATAAAGTATAAGAATTATAATGCAGAGCCACACCTACTGACTACAAAATCTGTGATCTTTCCAACATTCCTCATTGCCTCGTGTGTAGATAAACCCAATACATGCTTGAAGAATGTGTGATTCTTTGTGAGACAATGGCTTAGAATGACATTTTGGATTAGGACGATTGTGGTAAAAATTACAAGTGATTAAGAAAATAATCTGGTGGCCAGTGCATATACGAAAACTCTGATAATACACGAGCCACTGTGGGTTAAACCAAGATGCACTGATGTGTTCTGAGAGATCAGTATGGTGGGGAACAATTTTCATATCATTCACACAATTTTTCTTGAAGTCCCCATCACTTCTAAGACATTTCTTAAAGCAAGGAGGAAGGATGAAGGAATGATGGATGGATGGATGGATGGATGGATGGATGGATGGATGGATCCATTCTATGAAGGACCCAGTACTATATTTCCACACTATCCTGACCTTTGGCATCCCTGAGCTAGAACAAAGTCACTTCTATTATGTAGGGAAATTACGACTTATAGGTAGAGCTTAATTCAGAATACATACATGAGTTTACTAGAAATATTTACCAAACACCTGCTCTGTTGTCAGTATTTAGACCTATTTAGGGCACTGGGGGGGATTCAGACATGAATAAGATATGGACTTAAAGTCTAGAACAGGGGTTGACAAACTTTTTCCGTAGAAAATGAGACAGTAACTATTTTAGGCTTTGTGGGCAATGCAGTCCTTATTGCAAATACTCAACTCTACCATTGTAGCATGAAGGCAGCCACAGATAACACATAAATAAATGGGTGTGTTCCCAGAAGACATTATATATAAAAATGGGTGGTTAACTGGATATGGCCCACGGGCCATAGTTTGCTGATCCTCAGGTTAGAACGAGTGATAGGATGTTGCCAACTCCACTCTCCTCAATACTCCACTCGACACAGCTGTCAGAGTGAGCTTCTGTTTTAGCACTATGTCACTGCTATTCTTAAAACTCTTCAATGGCTTAGCACTACTCACAGGAAAAAAGTCCATACTTCTTAGCACAGTATAAAAGGCTCTTTGTGCTCCACTCCCTGCTTTAGTCTCCTGACTTGTTCCTCACACGTCTCTCTCTACCTCCCCTCCGCTACCTTTTATGCTGAAGCGATACTGAATTACCCTAAGACACCATGCTATTTTGTGTCTCTGTTCCTTTGCCCTCTACCTAAAATGTCCTATACCACCAAGAAACACATCCGCCCAGAAATTCCTCTGTGAAGCATCCTCTCACCCCACAAGTTGACCAGCTCTGACACGCTTTCACTTCCTTAACTCTCCTGTACTTTCTGTTCCTGAATGGGGAGATTAAACTGTGAGCTGCTCAGGGGCAGGCGGTTGGTTTACTTCTTTCAGGTGTAGCATTAACTGCTAGCACAGCGTCTGGCAGAGGGTAGGCGCCGAATTAATCTACGGTGAACCAAAGTCAACTGAAGGTACCACAAAGCGATACATTACTACTTCAAGAAGGAAGACAATACAGACTTCTTGAAGGAGAACAATCAGAAAAGGTTTGAAGCAAGTGGTGGCATGTGAACTAGGTATTAAAAAGGTAAGTAAACGCAGACTGTAAAGACTTCTGCAAAAGCAAAAAAGTGAAAAAATAAATTAATGTCTGATGACCAATGAGTAGTATTTCAGTTTGGCTGAAGTATGCAGAAGAACTGGGAACACATTTGGAAAGGTTAGTTCGGGGTCAGATCTAGAGGACTTTAAAGATCTGGCTAAGAAGTCTGTACTTTGTGCTGAAAGCTTCTGTAGGGCACAACAGTATGAGACAGGAAGACTAATCCAACAGAAGGTGGGTTGAAACTGAAAGACACCTGCCAAGACAGAAGCGACATTTGCCAAACGACTTGATGTAGGACACGCTGGAGTGACAGGAATTAAAGAGAATCCTGAAGTTTAAAGCCTGGGAAATTGGGATAAACAGGAAAATATGAACAAGAAGGAAAGTAGCTTAAAAAAAAAAAGACAGTGAATTTGGTTTTGGAATATTAAATTTGAGACCTGATAAAACACCCAGGTAGAGATATTTAGTATAAATCTGAAAGTGGGAGAAAGAAACTTTCAAGAGATGAGACATCAACCTGGGAGTCATCCATCCATCTAAAGAGAAGGAATGATAAAGATTCGAAAGCATTTTATCAACATAAAAGTACCCTCATATGTATTTCTATCATAATATCAATAACATTATTATACTAATTTGCAAACAGGTCCATCTGCTTGACTCTAAATTCCTTGAGAGGCGAGGTCACGGAGCTCGTGGCTCCATGAGAGACATGGCCAAACATCTGATGATGTGTCACCAGCTTAATAGTCAGAAAATAGCAGGTGTTCGGTGTGTGTGCTGAATGAAGCAGCCCCCATAATTCTAGCATTGTAGAGAACACAATTTCCTATGACACGTTACGACAGCACAAACATTAAAAATAAAATCCTTCGAAATCTTCATCTTCACATGTCTGTATCGGATGGCGTCAATCGAAGGCAAATGTGTCAGTGGTTACCATGGGGCAGACGCCACCATTACATTTCTTCCTGCTACTCTGAAGATATGGCAACCAACTATTCCTATTTTTACCATGTCTCTTCTCTATCAAAAGTCAGCATTACCACAGCCCTTGGCACATGTGAAAGGAAAGAATACCGACACAGTATTTATAGAGCTGCAGGCTCCTAATTTGTTAGTGATCTTACTGACCTTTTTTTTTTTTTTAATGTTGATTTATTTATTTGGAGAAAGAGAGAGTGCACGTGAGTGGGAGAGGGGCAGAGAGAGAAGGAGAGTCAGAATCCCAAGCAGGCTCCACGCTGCCAGCGCAGAGCCCGACGCAGGGCTTGATCCCATGAGCCTGTGAGATCATGACCTGTGTCAAAATCAAGAGTCCGGTGCTCCACCGACTGAGCCCCCCAAGCGCCCTGATTTTACTGACCTTTATGTGTCGGTTCATAGCAGTGGACTGTGCCGCCCGCACCAGACCCTCCAGTTCAGCACCGCTGAAATTCTTGGTCTCTACAGCCAGTTCTTTAATGTCTACATCAGCAGAGAGTAACTGATGCCCTCTCATCCTTGCTGTGTGGATGTGAAGGATCTGTAGTCGACCCTTCTCATCTGGTAAGCCTGATAAAATTGAAAACAAAATAGAAATTATTATAATCCTAATGCTTTTCTGATAGGTACTTAAGCAGGTAAACCTGTGCTCCTCACGACATACAACTTTTCTATCTAGTGTTAAGTTACATGACTTTGCTCTTACTAATGAACTCTAAACATACACCCTTCTCCCAATCGGTGACAGACCTGCTTACCTATCTCCATTTTAACTTCCAGTCTTCCAGGTCGAAGGAGAGCCTCATCTATCAGATCTGGTCTGTTGGTCATTCCTGAGCACAAATTTTAAAACAAAACAACAAAGTTCAAAAATAAGATAAAATGTCCCTTCAGTATATGTAAGAATAATGATTTCTCAAACAAGCTAAGACATTTTATAAACATCAAATAGAAAGTCAATTATTTATTTGAGAATAATTGAAATTCTCTATTTTCTAATGAAAATACCTGAAGACTCTGCTTTAGTATTTCACTCCACTGCCAATGAAATATAAATGTAATGAAAACTTCAAATATTTAAAAAGAGAATGTAAGGTTCAGAGAGGATAAGTAGCCTATCAAAGTGAGAGAGGGGCAATGTATGTGAATGTAATCTGTCCAACCTCAACGTCCCTCTCCTTTTCCGTAGGCCAATGGTTTTCAACCTTCCTAAGCAGCAGAAGTTTTGTTTTGTTTTGTTTCTAAAGTCACCTTAAGAAGAATCTCAGTACAGGGGCATCTGGGTGGCTCAGGTGGTTAAGCGTCTGACTTCAGCTCAGGTCGTGATCTCGCGGTTCGTGAGTTCGAGCCCCACGTTTGGGCTCTGTGCTGACAGCTCGGGGCCTGGAGCCTGCTTCGGATTCTGTGCCTCCCTCTGTCTCTACCCCTCCCCAGCTCATGCTCGGTCTGTCTCCCTCTCTCAAAAATAAATAAAAACATTTCAAAAAAAGAAGCAAGAAAGAAAGAAGGAAGAAGGAAGAAGGAAGGAGGAGGAGGAGGAGAAGGAGAAGAAGAAGAAGAAGAATCTGAGTACATGAAGCAATTAAAAGAAGTTACCACTGGGATACATGATCTGAAGCTCACTCACAGACCCTGAGGCACCTCTGGGGCCCCTGGAGGCCTACAGGATGCAATTTGAAAACCAATGCATTACACTCTGCTGTCTTTTTCATCTTTGAGCTGTAAGCATACACCCATGAGTCACTAAAACCCATCTTTTATTTGTCCTATTAAGGCTAGACATTAAAACAGTCAAATTCTTCAATATCACTTGATTCTAATTTGGAAACATGGGCAGTACAGTGTAATTACAACCTGCTCAGATCTTAATTCAGAACCTATTTATCTCACGTTTTTGAAATCACAGAACTTTTGTTTTTTTAAAGCAAACATACCAATGACTAAGATGTTGTTCAGCTGCTCTACCCCATCAATTTTGGACAGCAACTGGTTGACGACAGTGTCATGAACTCCTGTGCTACCAGCCATGCTCCCTCTCTGCTTGCAGATGGCATCAATTTCATCAAAGATGATTATGTGCAAGCCACTGTTAGCACCAAGCTAGAAAGGGAAGAAATTATAGTAAAGGTCATAACTTGAATATATTATTAAACAAACTAATTTAAAAAAAGCAAAACAAAGCTTCCACGGATTGATTTTGCTGCATTTTGACTAACAAATACAGAAAGTATAATCAATCATGGCTGCTGTGCTCTCAAAGGCATTCCAGAACCTCATATTTAATAGCCATAAAACAAAAATACACATTATTTACTGATGAATGTGAACAGCCCACCAAATAACAACCTGTTCAATGACACACATTTCTTCTCTCACTATTTGAAAGAAGAATTCATAATTATCAGATCCATGTCTTAAGTCAGTGAAGGGCAACTCCCTCCCATTTTCCCTGAGTTTTGGTGAGGGAACTATCCCAGCTGCAGCAGGTTTAATGTTTGTTTGTCACACTATACGGCTGTGAACAGTAACTCCACTCGGAGGCCACCTGGAAAGGGGGCAGATGAGGGAAGGAAGTGAGCACGATTCACATTCTGTTACATCACATGAAAACAGATTACTTCTTCCTAACAGTAAAGTGAGAACAGAGACACAGTTTATAGAAGGAATAGTCAAGGGGTGCTGTTTCTTCTGCATAGTGATTTCTGTTTGAGTTTATTGAATATAGAGTCATTATTACAAGAAAATAATTTTATGTACTGTGAACCTTTAATAGATGCAAATACTTCCAAATGCTAATAATTCACTAGGTTAAGTTAACATGGACCTTCTAACAATTTATAGTCAAGTATTTAAGTCTCCCATTAGGAACCAAAGAAGGAAGTATACTCTATACATTTTCTTTTCTTTTTTTTTTAAACAACAAAAACAACAAAAATAACCCATCAGAGATTAACAGAATATGTGAAAACTTGACTTACATATGGTTAATATAAATGATGGGTACATGTGATTCAGGATTAGATATGGTTGGTATTCATTAACCCTCTAAAAAGGATGTAATATTTTTAATATTTACTTCATTATAAAAGCATTAGATACTAACTGAGCAGAAGTTGCACAACAAATAGAAATAAGTTAAAAATAAACTATGTCCTATCATACCTATGATATATACTATATAATACCTAAAGATAAATGCTGTTAACATTCTCTAGATTTATTTTTATATTTTAAATTTATTTTAGTTAAAAAATTGGGAGCTCACTGAATCTTGTATTTTCTTGAATATTAACTATTCTTTGAAAACTATTTAGGGCGCCTGGGTGGCTCAGTGGGTTGAGCATCTGACTTTGGCTCAGTCATGATTGGAGTCGGAGCCTGCTTCGGATTCCGTGCCTCCCTCTCTCTCTGCCCCTCCCCTGCTCACGCTCTGTCTCTGTCTCTCTCTCAAAAATAAACAAACATTAAATAATTTTTAAAAATGGGAATGCAAGCTGGGGCAGCCACTCTGGAAAACAGTATGGAGGTTCCTCAAAAAACTAAAAATAGAGCCTGGGTGGCAGTCGGTTAAATCCGACTTCCAGCCAGTCTGATCATGATCCGTGAGTTCGAGCCCTTGTCGGGCTCAGGCTGATGGCTCAGGAGAGCACTGGAGCTAATTTCGATTCTGTGTCTCCCTCTCTCTGCCCCTCCCGTTCATGCTCTGTCTCTCTCTGTCCCAAAATAAATAAATGTTGAAAAAAAAAAATTTTAAAAAAAAAAAACTAAAAATAGAACTACCCTACGACCCAGCAATTGCACTACTAGGCATTTATCCACGGGATACAGGTGTGCTGTTTTGAAGGGACACATGCAGCCCTATGTTTATAGCAGCACTATCAACAACAGCCAAAGTATGGAAAAAGCCCAAATGTCCATCGATGGAAGAATGGATAAAGAAGAGGTGATATATATATACAATGGAGTATTACTCAGCAATCAAAAAATCTTGCCATTTTGCAGCTACATGGATGGAACTGGAGGGTATTATGCTAAGTGGGGAATGGTCAGAGAAAGATAAATATCATATGACTTCACTCGTGTGAGGACTTTAAGAGACAAAACAGATGAACATAAGGGAAGGGAAACAAAAATAATCTAAAAACAGGGAGAGGGACAAAACAGAAGAGACTCATAAATATGGAGAACAAACTGAGGGTTGCTGGAGGGGTAGTGGGAGGGGGGATGGGCTAAATGGGTAAGGGGCACTAAGGAATCTACTCCTGATATCATTGTTGCACTATATGCTAACTAATTTGGATGTAAATTTTAAAAAATAAAAAAAAATTAACAAAAGAAAAGTATTTAAAACTGTTATTTTTGTTTCTATTTGCAAAATAGATGATTATAGAAAATGTGGAAAAATACTAAAAAATGTAAAGAAATCACAATCATCCAAAATTCAACTAGCTGGAAATAACTCCTATTATTAATCTGGTGCTATGTAAGTAGTTTGTAACCCTTTTTTCAGTCCAGATAGTATCTTCAGCCCTTTCACATAGCTATAAATACAACTATACCATATGCAGACAAAGTAACTGCAGAAGATAAAGGTCAATTTTACTTCATAATAATAAGACTGCAGTTAGGTCAGCGAGAAACAATGGTACATAAATAAGGTAAACAGAATCTGTAAGTTTATTTTGGTAATGGAAGTGGTGATGACTAAAAAAGCAAAGTTCTACTCTTCCCTCTCTTTCTCTCTGTCCCTCATGGGATTCTCTCTCTCTCTGCCCCTTGATCATGGGCGCCCTCTATCTCTAAAAAAAATCAGAAAAATAAAAATAAAATAAAATTAAATAAAAAAACAAAGTCCTAGATTTGATTATTGCCTGCATGTGGAAGGGGGAAGTGACAACAAAGATAAGAAATACCTTGTAGTTAGGATAAGAAAGATGCAGAATGAAAAGACGCAAAAGAAATTTTTTTTTAAAGTTTCTACTATGATAATATTAAAGTGTCAACAGAACATCTAATTAGAAATGTCCTCCAGGGGCATCTGGATGGCTCAGTTGGTTGAGCATCCAATTCTTGACTTCAGCTCAGGTCATGATCTCATGGTTTGTGGGTTCGAGCTCAGCGTAGGACTTTGCACTGACAGTGCAGAGTGTGCTTGGGATTCTTTCCCTCTCTTTCTGCCCCTCTCCCCCCTCAAGATAGATAGATAGATAGATAGGTAGATAGATAGATAGATAGATAAATAAATAAATAAATAAACAAACATTATATATATATATAAAGAAATGACCTCTAGAAAAAAAAAGATACATGCAACTTGACAAAGAGAGAAAGATAGATCTGAAAGTCATCTACAAGCAGTAGAGAAGAATCTAGTGGCAAACTAGATTCTGTAAGAAGATGAATCATATAATTAAACTGGAGAAATATAAAAGCAAGAAGGTTCTGGGCTGCAATACCATATGATGTCTACAGTAAAGGCAACCTGAAGAAAAAGAGAATCAGGAAAACATCACAAAGATGAAAGATGAAATGTTACATCAGAAGTAGGAAAAGAAAAACAGCTCCAAAGCTGAAATTAGACTAGGTCTAAAACAAACCTGAATATGTAAAGTATTTTTTAAAATCACAAATAGATAAAATACTCTATGATCCAGAAATTCCACTCCTTGGTATATAGCAGCTCTCCTCATAATTGCCCCAGACTGGAAACCCAAATGCCCTTAAGTGGGTGAATGGATAAACAAACTATAGTACATCCATACAATGGAATTTTACTCAACAATAAAAGGAGATGTCTGATACATGCAACAACTTGGATGTATTTCAAAGGCAATATGCCAAGTGAAAGAAGCCAGTCTCAAAGGTTACATACTACGATCCCATTTATATGACATTCTCGAAAAGACAAAACTTCTAGGGATGGAGAACAGATTATTAGTATCCAGGAGTTATTAGCAAAGGGCGAGTGACCATAAGGAGACAGCATGAGGGAATTTGAGTAGGGGTGGGGGGGTGATGATAAATGTTCCATATCCAGACTTTGGTGATGGTTACATGAAACTATACATGTGTTAAAACTCATAAAACTGAATACTAGAAAAGTCAATTTTACTTAATAATAATAAATTTTTAAAAATAAAGTATCTTATAATACTTATACTTCACTATGCATATTTGGAATGTTCACTCTTTAATGCAATTCTATGCAAGATGATAGTCTTAAATTCATCAAAGTTTCCAAAATTTAACTAGTTTTTTTTTCCTAAACACTACTTAAGATTGTTCTCTTTCCACCAATGTTTTAAAAACTAAATTCAAATCTGAAAAAAAATTTAACTTATTTTCTCAATATAGTCATATTTACCGAACAGATGTCTGATGATAAGTGATAGCCTGTTGCCTAAAAAAAAAAAATTCAACACCAAAAATGATTATCTTTCTAACTGCAGAAATGACTGAGAATCAGGAATTGGAACTATACCCTCAGCTTTACCAAACACTTCTGTATGATAGGGTATTCTTGCCATATTTGGTGCAAAACAAGGTCACTGCTGTTTGCCACTAAAAAACTGAGATTCTACATTATTTCGTAAGACATTTTTATTCAAGGTTGCCTGCCAATTTAGCATGAAACAAAAAGCTGCTAAAAAAAAGTATGAATTTTGCTATCAGTGTGCCTTATGTTGCCACTGGAATCATGACTTCCTTCTCAGTCCAACCTCAAAAGTCATCTGTGTGGATGGGAAGCCAGAGACAATAGGAACACTGTAGGATCATAGGAGCAATCTGTCTTAAACATAATTCAGTATTAATTCTGACCTTTTCACAACCTTACTAATCTTGTGACCTGTCATCAAGTGCCTTCCCCAACCTAGTCAGTACAACCACATCAATTTTTACAGGTGTGTTACTTAAATAAAGGTAAGTTCTTCTTGCAATAAATTAGGAGTCAGGTAAGGAAGATGTCAAGATTAATATTCACAGATTACAGCTGACTCATCAATAAGCCCTTTACCAAAGAGTTTAAATCCTTTTTAGTTCACTGGCCTCTAGCTCTGTTCTTACCATCTGCAAAGTCTTCTGCCATAGAAACAAAGCTG